GAAAGAGTGTGGCCAAGCATGTTCCTCTCATCCCAGCACTGAGCACGTAGTAGGTGCTCATGAAAACAGGTTCAATGGCTGGCCAGTGAGTGCATTAGTATTTTTTCTCACACAAGATGACGGTCAACAAAACTATGTAAACGCACAAAGGAGACACAGCCCACTGACCTACCTTGGGGATACAGTTCCCAAAAGAATGAGACACACAGAAAAAAGAGTTCTCCCCAGAGCATGTTATTCAAGTCTTAAAATAAGATACATCTCTCATTTCAAGGTACATTTATTTTAGTGAGGTAGGATAAAAATTTTGTGAAACAAAAATGAATAAGCTGGTGTGTGGGACGAGGAATTAAAATAAGCAAGCGACCAGCCGCCTGCCCACATGGAGGTCCTCACGTCCCGCCGCTTATTTTTGGCTCCATCTGGTTTGTTTTCTTCCCTAGCACTTTAAAGTACGATAGGTAGGTCAGAAAGAGGGGCCCATGGTGATCACTAAACTCGTCCTGTGTATCTGGTACTGTACTCACATTACCTCATTGAATCTCCACGCCAACTTTATGAGGTGAGTACTATTAATATCCCTATTGTGCAGTAAGAAAACTGAGTTTCAGACACGTGAATGACCTTGCCCAAAGTGACCCATCAGAAAACAGCTGGGTCAAGACGTGAACTAAGGGGGTGGAGCCCAGATCCACTGGCTTTGATCCACTCTGCCCTATTGACCAAGGATGGATGGCAGCCCTCTCTCTCTCTCTCTCCCTCCCTTCCTCCCGCTCTCGCTCTCCCTCTCTCTCAGGTGAAGCAGATTTCCTCCTCAAGGGGCTAAGGCACCTGGGGCTCAGGATACGCCTGTGTTTCCCTGGTCCTAGTGGCAACTCCAGAAAGTGGACGTGGGAAAGGAGGAGTGGGAAGAAGACATGGGGGTGTTCTTCACTAAGATCTCTTCCCTGCTTGCCAGCCTGAAGTGAAGCCCTCTGTGAGTAAGTAGAGATGGAGCAGTGCCGACATAAGCAGCAAAATCAGCTCAGTCACCCCCACCTAGTCCTCAGAACCCCAAATCTTTCAAGGGTAAGGACAGAGAGAGAGGAGCGCAGCCGGGGTGTGGACATAAAGTCAGACCACATCTGGGACAAATCACCCCTTTTGCCACTTCCAGGCAATGGGACCTTGGATAAGACAATCTCTCCGAGCCCGTTTTCTTATCTGAAAAACGGGGGAAATAATTCCTAGCTCATAGGTTTGCTGAGGATTGAGTTCATGTATGTAAGGAGCTCATCAGAGTGCCCAGAACACAGCAGAACCAGAATAAGTACTAGCTGTTATTAGTAAGACACTATCAAATGCACTAAGATAATTAATATCCACAAAAAGTTAAGTAAATACTGAACTATATAATATGCAACCATACAGTAATAATAAATAATCAAACATGGTGTGGGTTATGCTGTGGGAAAGGTAAGGGCAGGGGTCATGGCCTTCACCGTTTTTTACCCACCAAAGTGCCAGGACAGCCCAGCCCTCTGTCCTCGGCAGGGCGGGCCTCGCGCAGCGAGTGCAGGAGAACGAGGGGAGCCTTCAGTTTCCTGCAACTTCCCCTAAACCTCAGAGAGGACAGCAGCACTTCCTGAATTGCCTTATTTAATGAGATTATTCCTTCTACTTTATATTCCATACCTCGTGGGAATGTTCATTTTGTCTCTGGCAGCTTGCTGGTTCAATAATTGTTTCACGGTGTAATAACCCATGTATTAAATCAGACACGGAACCTCCTTGAAATATTATTATACTGAATTCCCTTTCCTAACAGCCAGACCAGTTTTGAATCTCACCCAAAGGGCTTAGTTACCAAAGAACAAAAAGTATGCTATTTAAAGTGTTTTCTTCTACAGAGCTCAAAAGGTCATGGGTCTATGTTTTTTCAATTTCAATAGCATTTTTGCTTCCTAACACCCTATATAATATACTTATTTATTAGGCTTCTATTTTCCTGTTCTCGCCCCACTGCAGGTTAAAGGGCAGGATGCCGTCTATTTTATTCACTATTGTTTCCCAATGATTTGAAAAAGTACCAGACACGCAGGAGGTGCTTAGTAAATACTGTTCAATTAACGAACAAATTGAAGCACATTTTAGAGCATTTTTTAAGGAACAGCCACAACGGATGGAAATGTATCTCATTTTCTTCCTTTTCCTTTTTCTCTCCCTTTTTCTGTTTGATTTTCACCATACTGGAACACAACTCCAAAAATCAGGATTAAACGATCCACAGGAAGGCATGGATTCGTAGAATACCCAAGTTGCCCTTACACTAAGACCTTCCCAGGCACATTGTGAAATGTGAGTGTCCTCCTGGGTGACCACAGGAGGAGACTCAGCCTCACACTCTTAACGTGGGGTGAGACAGAGGGGGAACGTCTCCATCACCGTCACGAGGGGCCTCAATCATCTAGGACCACAGGGACCGGGGCACAATGGACCCTCACGCAAAATTAGGGTTCATGAAGTATGAGGCCCGAAAGGTCATTCAATCCAAATCTCCCATTGTTTAGATGGGAAAACTGAGAGTCCAGGAAAGGAAAGTGGCTGTTCAACCGCACAGTCCTTAGAGCGCAGCCAGGAACAGAAGGCGCACTGCTTTGTCCCTTCTGACCCGCTTCCTCTCCTTCCTCCTTCCTTTCTCCCTCTTTCTCCCCTTCATACCTTCTTCCTTCTCTCTCGTCCTTCGCGCCTCACCTCTTTGTTTAAGGGGTGTGTGTGTGTGTGTGTGTGTGTGTGTGTGTATACTCTTCACAAGGGGATGGTTTAGAAAAAGCCCTGGTTAGCAGCCCACGCATAATTTCGACTCGGCAATGTTGGTGATTTAATTTCACTAACTTTCCATTTTTCCTCAACTGCCGTTAATAATACAAGCATCTTAGAGACTTCCTGAGATAAACAAAAACAAAAGCAAAAAAACCCTGGAGATCACTTAGGCCAACCTTTATTTTACAGATAAGAAGCAACAGGCAAGTTGGCCCTGACTGGTGTAGCTCAGTGGATTGAGCACAGGCCTGCGAACCAGAGGATGGCGGTTCGATTCCCAGTCAGGGCACATGCCAGGGTTGCAGGCCGGTTCCCTGCAGGCCAGTTCCCAGCAGGGGATGCATGAAAGGCAACCATACACTGATGTTTCTCTCCCTCTCTCCTTCCCCTCTAAAAGATAAATAAATAAATAAATCTTTTAAAAAAACTTTGAAAAAAAAAAAAAGAAACAACAGGAAAGTAATAAAAAGTGAGTCCCGGGTCCCAAAGCCACCTAACAGCAAAGCTGAGGCACCCGGGACCCTTGGCCACAGAGCACACCTTGACCGAACTGAGGACACTTCTCAGATTTGTGTGCAGCCCAAATGGTCTCATCGTACCGACTCGAAAACCCAACCTAAGCAAACATGTCTCAAATCAATGATGAAGATTCTTCCTTCAAGGAAGTGAATACGATTCTACTGTGGAAATTGGGGAAATAGAGCCATAGCACATACACACACGTGTGTACGTGATTATTACATACACTATATATAAAAGATGCTTATTTCTTAAATATCTGCTACTGTGTATGTAAAAAAATTAACAGTGCTAGCAAGAACATCATAACACATTGCTTGACACAATACTTTTGAAATGTTATCCATCAATATCTATACAAACTAAAATATACATGTTCTTTGATCCAGCAAGTCCTCCAGGAACCTGAAACTATCTATAGAAATAGAATTGTACAAGTATGTGGATTAGGCCACTATTTATAGCAGGAAAAGAAAACAATCAGGTGGTTCATCATCAGGGAGGGTCATGGCTGAATAAACTGCGGTACAACGACTTATGGAACTTGGTGCTGAAGGGATGTCCGTCATTCATTAGTAGGAAAACCAAATTGCAGTACAATGTGCTTGATACAATTATGTTGTACAGAAACCACCATCTCTGAAACACTATTATATGTGACATACTTTTTGTTGGGAAATGAGTATGAAGGAAAGTTGTGGAAGTGTATGAACACTGAGCATCCCAGAGAGCAGGCAGCAATGGATGCAGGGCGAAGAGATGATTACTGTTTTCTTTACATATACATCTTTGAAGGTTTATATAGACTATTATATACATATATATATACATATATATACATATATATACATATATATATATATTTTAAAATCATGTTAAGACAAAAAATTCTGAAGATAAAGACAGCTGGAACCCACGAATATTCCTCTGAGTCCTGCTTCAGGCCCCTCCTTCCCCTGTGGACCCGGGGCAGCAGAAATACTCTGAGAAAATTGTGAAGTGCAGCAAAGAGAACCTCGAAGCTTTTTCTCTACGCCCTGCCACAGTCATCCTCTGAGCTCGTTACGTTTCCCACCAAACTGTCCTCGTCCTGATACAGGAAGCGATGTGTTGAGCAGAGATGGGAAGTGAGACGTGAACCCAGCAGCTGCCAAAGCTCTTCCTTTATCACAGGAAGGGAGCTCAATCTTCTTCAAGGTGAGGGGTGACGCAATATACTTTACCTTATCCTGCTCCACAAAAGAACTCGTAACTATAAATATCCATGCAGGATCTAGTCTTTATAAAACTAAGAAGCATCTAGAAGCCAACTTTAGCAGACAGCCTTCTGGGACACCTGAACCAGCTACCTGGAAAGCTGGCCCTGACTTCATAGGCTCATTTGTTGAATGAGCTGACTCCAGGTTGAATGAAAAGTGGCAGGCCAGTGAATGCAGAGGTCCTGGCTGTGACAGTGATGACCACTAGGCTTCCACAATGATGAAACTGCATTACCGGAAGCAGTAACTGTGCAAATCCTGGTGGTCTAGTGCTCCAAAGACAACTGTCAACATCAACTTCTAAAACTCCAAGAACTGTTTATATTAATACACAACAGTCTGAAACAGCCCAGCCCCAGAGTCTATATTCCAGCCACGGCTCAGGAACCAGCAAGAAGAAAGGCAGAGAGACTGACTTACCAAGCCAACTTCTGTTTAAGTACACAGACACAAACACTGGGGGGACCGTGAAGAAATCCACTACAGAGTTCACTTCCAGCCAGAACCACAGCTTATCGTTGGCTGCAATAAACTGGGGGAAAGAAAAGAGAGAAAAAGAATGAGAAGCATGGTGCCAGCATTCAAAATATACTCTTGCCAAAGGTTACATTTGAGTTTTTGTTGGGGGTCTGGAATGAGATGTTCTTTTCTTTTCATATCTATACCAATTACACGCTATTTTTGTCTTAGAATTCAGATAGTGTTTTCTAAAGAATGACTATGTTAGCTTTGGAGAAAGCTCAGGAAGTGTATCTTTCTATGGTTTTCAACTGCATCAGAGGTAAAGTTAAGCAATCTCACCTTTACTAGACTGTCTAATGTAAACATAACTGCAAATAAAGCACATATGGATGCATTCATTCACACACACACACACGTGCACACACACACATATCTCTGTAACTCACCTCTGTACAGCTCCTGTCATTAACAGGGTGTAGTAGAACACCCTCCTACCCCCAAATCTGCTGCTCTATCCCCTGATTCTACTATTCTCCCTGGATTCAGCAAAATGAGCATGGATAAACATAAATTTAAGGTCAAAAAACTTTTTTTCAGTTCTGTTAAGGGAACAATGTCCTCCTGTTTGAATAGAGGGAAGAGGAAGTTGGCTGGAGGAGGTATAATAGCTATTTGAATCCCTATGTCTCCCCCTGTGAACACAATTAACAGGTACTTCAGAAAACTGTGGGCTGAGGACAGGGCTCTCTCACAGCCTGGAAATCAGAACGCAGGTCTGCTGTCCTCCCTGGGAACACTGGGCATTGTCTGCCTGCGAGGGCAGGCACTGGTGGAGCAAGGCCCCTGGGAACAAGACTTGCACCCCCATCGTCACACTGAGCAGTGTTGCTCCAACTCACCCGCAAGCCAAAGTAGAGGAGGAAGAACACGTTGAAAGCCATGTCGATCTGTAATGTGAAATCTTTGTAGAAATTCTGGCAGGATTCTATTGGGCTATTAGACAGGAAGAAGAAAAAGCAAAGGGTAAATGAAAAGCATCACCAAGTCTCCCACATGCTGTGCAGCGGTGGTGCTCGGAGGAGAGGTCATAATGAATACTCATGAAATAAAACATTTGGTCTTTTTACCCCTGTGATAATCAAGCAAGCATTGCCAAGGGGTCTTTCCATTCAACCATTCAGTCTTTTGTTCTTTTATTTCTTTCTGTCATTTTAAATACATATATATGTGTATATATATAATTTTTATCATCATTCACCAGTTGAGCTAAAAAAAATTGAAAGATCATGCACACACCTTGGAGGAAGGACAAGCAAGAGACACTACCAAATTCCTTAATTTCACATTAACCCTTAAAGAACTGACTTCTTCCTTGTAGAGGACACATCACAAGGCTAAAAAACAGTTCCTCACACACTCCAGCTTATTGGAAGCGGAGCCCATTTTCAATTAAACACAGAGGCATGTTTTGAACCTTTTAAAAGCCATCAGTTGATGAACAATAAAGGACCCAGGAGCATCTCAGGAAAGCCATGAAGGAGAGGATCCTGGTGGATGTTCTGGCTAGACTACGTATGGACTTCACGTGCAACATTCAGATCGAGGGAAAGAAGCATTGCCCAACTGGTAAAATTCAAGGCCATTAAACTAAAATGTTGAAGCAGTACTCTAAGGGTTAATTTTATTATTATTCTTTGGCATGCAGATTAATTGGTTTCGTGTGTGTCAAGCAGCCAGTGCGAACCCCAGCACACTCTACTTTGTTCAAGAGTAGGCAGTTCTAAAGGGTACTACTATACAAACTGGTACATGGCTTCCTGGCGCTTTCCCACGTCAAACCGATCAGAGGATCAGTGTGTGACAAGTCCCAAGTTTGGGGCTGGGTGGGAAGCAGGAAAGCCTCATAAGCATCTCAAAGCTGTGAAAGAAAATTCATAGTGTATTGTTATCAGTAAGCAAATGGTAACACTCAGGCCAGGAACATACAGAAGGTGAAGAGGAAAAAAGGGGAGTATGGGGAAAAGCAAAAAATTTTCCCCAGATAGAAAGCCACATACATGGACCTCCAGGCCAGGAGAGGGTTAGCGTGAGAAGTGCGGGACACGGGATTTTGGATTTCAGAGCTTTGCCACTTTGAAAATCACTGTGTGCAATACCAGTTAGTATAGTTGTACTTCTGTAAGGACAAGGCTAAGTTGCTCAACAGGCAGGAATCTGTGCAGCATGGGAATGCAGGGCCCACCCAGAGCCATGGTGGGTTAGTCCGTGGCACTCTCCAATCACATAACATGCACTGGATTTAACCATTCTTTGTCTCTATTACAAGTCAAACATGCCCTTTGTCATCTCCCAAATCACAAATAGGAGGAAAATCTTCCAGAAAATCATTAACAGTAATCTACATTTGCATTTACAAATTCAGCGAAGTGTACAAAAAACAAACACTGAAAAACAGTTCTTTTATAAAGGAAATGGCAACTCCTAGGTTTTCAATAAGGTAGGGAAATTGGAGGAAAACCAGCATGAATTTGCTTAGTCCAGTGCTGAAAGGAGACAGGAGAAAAAGCTAAACATCACAGCCTACCACTGCTCCTTGCAGGCTCTCCTATACAGGTATTCATTTAAGTGAGAAAAGGAAAATCCAGACCTAGAGTGAATAAGTGACATTTCTGCAATTCCCAAGCCATGATGGCATTTTGTTTTAATTCAAGAACAAGACCCTCATGGTTCATAGTTGCCAGAGTTCTTAGCTACTCTAGCTATACTGAAAAAAAAGTACCTGAACTAGGTTGACCAGTATTCCACTAGAGATCCCAAGGGATTCAGAGAAAGACCATGCATCTCTGTGCTATATGAGCCACTGGTACGATGTGCTACTAAAAGTTAAAGGGGCGTTGTGTGTGAGAGAGAGAGTGAGGACTGGGAGCTCTGTTAGCAGACACTGCACTCACATCCTCATGTGCGCCACCAGTGACTTAGCTGTGCATTATAAATTCACAGTCATCAAGATGGATGTGTATTCAGACAACAGAACAGAGAGAAAATCTTGGTTCCCAAGTCTACTATGAAAAACCCACTGTCACGTCACCGGGCCAAATGATAACCTTACTATTGCTCTCACTGGTGAAGTTACCGATGGCATATTTGGGACCCCGTGAGTTCCCTAGCACCTATTAATTCCATGGCCTCTGTGGTTAGTTTGGTAGTTACCTTGAAATACATCCTGTAGAGAACACACTTGTTATGCTGTGGAAGAGGTTAGAATAGTGTGGGAAAGAGATGTTAGCTCGATGCCGCTGAGGACTTTTGGGTTCAACATAAATGGAAGCAGATGTTCAATGAAGTATAAGGAATCAGGCTGTAGCAACTTCTTTCCATTGTTCCTGGCCTTCCTTGTCATCTCTGCGGCTCCCTCCTATATTGCCCACTCCTAAGGGCAACAGTGGGAAAGCCAGGTGCTAAAAGGCACAGTGCTGAAAAATACATCTCAGCAGCACCCCTGATTTACAGAGGACAATGTTGAAACCATAATAGACCTTTTTTAAAAAATTAAATTTACAGCAGATTTCATCTTTGTTTCATATCATTCCTTGAACCCTAGACTTTGAGGTGAAATAATCGAGGGAGTAAATTATGCTGCTGGTACTGGCAGCTTTTCCTCTGGCTGGAGCTCACAACCGACAGGAGGAACTGCGGAGATGAAGAGGGAGGAGAGGAAATTCAGCCACCAAGGAGGGCCAGCCCCTGGGGCCCAGGTAGGACCAGAGTAATCAGAGTCTGTTTTCCAACCCTGTTAGCTCTTTAACTTGCCTTGCCAGCCCAAGGAGAAACATCCTACCTAATTTTCTCAAGTGGCAATAGACTATTTATCAGGACCCCCTTTGAGATAAATCCTCTAAGTCTTGTAGTCCATGGACTCACACAATTAGAGCCCATGGAGTGGAAATTCTAAAGCCCCATCCTTTCATTCCTCATGTGGAAATGACCCATGGAGAAGTTCACTCATCTTATAGAAAGGAAATACATAATTTAACAAACAAAAAGGTTGGCCATATCATTCAGGATTTATTTTCTTCCCACAGAGACTTTATCTTAATGATTAGTGCTCATGGTAGGATGGATGGGAAAATGGAACACAGACTCCTCTTCCTTCTTGGGCGAAGTAGGAGAATTTCTTGTCTAGGTACACAGAAATGTCAAGAGCAAGAAAAAAACAATCACTTTTTTTTAACTATAAAGAAAACTGACTCTGGATTACACACTTAAGTTTAAATTGTCATCCTGATGAAACATACCCACATCAGAATAGGCTTTTTTATGGACATATGTGGCAAAAAAAAAGAATGGCGTTTTAAGAACAGAAATAAGGTCACTAGTACTAATCCTATAGCAGAAAACTTACTTTCCCTACATTGTTCTTGGTTAATTAATGACTTAGTAATCAGAGGACACTAGATAAGGCAAACTGATGAACTATTCATTCCCCTGCTCCAAAGTCCATGGATCAAGATTAATACTAAAACCTTAGACACATTTAGTGTTTTGGCCAGCACTCTGTAATCGGGCACCTTCATAAGGACTTCACTTCTGCTTCTAATGGGATAAACATTCAGTATTAGAAAGAGTTGAAATATAAACTCTTATTCCCTCTTAACCCTCAAAGTAAGCATACCTCTATTTAGCTCTCTCTCTAGAGGCAAATAAGATCCAAGCAAAGTGGGAAACATATCTTTCTTCATCAATTTAACAACATAGTATCCAGTGAAGACCCATGAGTAGGAAAATTCAACAGTCCTTCCTGAAGACTGATTAAGAACACGTCTTTCTAAAGCATAAGGGAAGCTGTAGCTACCCAGGTTTCCTTTCAAATGGCAAAGGGCTAAAGACAAAAATCTCACTTCTAGCAGCTATTCCTCTGCATGTCTGCATCATCTCCAAGAAGGTCATAGTTGCCCCCTGTACTCAGCCTCTGAACTTCCCTGTGGTTTTCTGAAGCCTGTTTTCCCTGCCTGAGTCTGGCTGTCCAGCACTGTGAAGATTTCTTCGGGACCGTAGTTCTCCAGCTTTGGCATTTACGTGGAAGGGTTTTGGAAACTTTGGTGGGGCCTACCCCCCAGAGTTTCTGATTTAATAATACTGGGGTAAGGCCCTGAGAGTTTGCATTTCTAATGACTTCCCAAGATGCTGCTGCTCATCCAGGGGCCACACTTGGAGAACCACCGCTCCAAAAGAACTTTCTTACAACTACACACTAACTACTGGCATTGCTGCTTGAGGAGATCTCCATTCGGACCTGAACGGAGGCGAGTAGGCATCTGAGACAGCCCCTGGGGAACCAGCTGCACGCATCCCACTTAACTAATTGCTGAGATCAAGAGGCTGAACAGGTATTTTCGGTTTCAGATGTGAACATAGGGGAACAAATTAAGACAATACAGGGAAGTAATTACAATACAGCTATGCAAGCTTCACCAATGACATTCCAATTAACAACTGGACAGTGCCCAAGCAGCACATTTTTAGTTTAATATTTAAAGGAAAAATGATCAAGTATAGATGGAGGGAGGTTATAAAGACCATCACTTACACAAAAATGAAATGTTAATTCAGTTAGGCACAACAACAGCAGCAAACAACCAAGATGATTTAAGAAATAACCACATGAGAGGGAAGGATATAACCATGAGAGGGAATAACCACTAGCTGAGAAACAAAACAGCACTTTTAGAAATAATTTCCCAAATTTAAATTCTCCTCACTCTTGCAGCTAGTCCCTTTTAAAATTGGATGGAGCCTGTTCAATTCCCACCAGGATAATGGACCACCAGAGTTCAGGTCCACAGCACCACAGACATGAATCAATAAAAAAAAAGCCCAGTGATTCCAGATTCTTCTGCTAGTCTCACCTCTGCAATATTGCCAGATTAATTTAATTAAAATATGCCATTCATCCACCATCATGGCTCCCTCCTGCCTCACACATCTACTCTAAG